CCGGACCACGCCTCTGCAGGATGAAGCCGACGCACACGCGGGCCATACTGGCGTGCGGACATCACTTCCACGCGCAGTGCCTGCCGTCGGGCTCACCCTCGCCCGTGTGCCCTCTCTGCGAACGGAAGGCGGCGTACTTCGCTGCCAAGGCATCCGCCGCCGCCTCCTCAACGACGCTGGACCAGCAGCAGCCGCAGACCCCGGAGCAGTCCGACGCTTCGTCTTCGTCGTCGTCTTCGTTGAAGCGAGAAGAGGGCGAGGAAGCCGAAGCCGAAGCTGAGGGATCGAGCCAAGGACGCAGTGAAGGCGCCGACGAAAACGAAATGACGTGCGAGGACTGACACGAGCGGACGAGGGACACACACGAACGTACAACGACAAAGGGAACTTGACGAAGGTGATGGATGGCTGGTGGTGTACAGGAGGAGAAGTCTGGAGAGACAACAGATGACGAGCCGTGTGGTGGCTCTGCGGCGTGTTTGGGTAAGAAGAACAAGAGAAGTACAAAAGAAGAAGAGGAGAAGAAAGTGGGGGGTTTGCTGGTGGTCAAAACTGTTTGGGTTTGTCGTGTTTAGCAGCGCCTCAACCGCGCTTTAGCCGAATCGTGGAGCCTGCGTCGAAGCACGAGACCAACGCGGGGTCAGCCGTGGTGCGAGTGGCGGGAGAGTGGTGGCAGTGGTGTACCTCCAGACTTGGGGGAGTCCTCCGTATTGAGTACGTTGTTGAGTTCTCGCATCCAGTTGTCCTTGTCCTGCTGCGTCCGGGCAATGAGCACCAGCAGCACCTTCCTCTTGCCCACGATCTGGAAAGATAGCTTTTCTGTTGTGTTGTTGAGTCGGTCGTTGTGAGCCTTGGGTGCAGTGAAGAAGAAGTAGAAGAAGGTGGGTGCTGTGATGATGCCCACGTACTCAAGGGCAGGTCCTCAACGCATAGGTTGAACTTGGCGGGGAAGAGGTTGATGGAGCCCTTGTACACGAAGGCCTTTTTCTTTTCCTGGGCGTAGATCAGCACGTCGCTGAACAGGAAGAACCACCGCACCGTCGTCGCTCCAGACTTTCCTGTATCGCCAGAGTCCTCTCAACCGTAAGTGCACACGCCCGCAGCCCCCAGCCCGATCAGGTCAAGCGTGAAGGTACCCGACGACGGCTTCTTGGAGAGCTGGCCCTGGAAGATGAACTTTCGGCCGGCCTGCATCAGCGGCTGGTGTTGTAGCACGTGAAAGAAAACGGTCAGTTTTACACTGCCGAAGGCTTCCTCGATCGAGACGCGTACAGGGCAGGGGGAGGAGGGGTAATAGAACATGTCGTACCACGCCCATTCCGACGATCTTCCCCGACAGTTCGGCCATCATGTCGTTGTTTGATTTGTAGCTGTCCACCCACTGCGCCACATCCACGATCTTCTTCCTGTTGTGGGTGGTGGTGGTGCGTGAGCGGTACTCTTCTGCGTCGTTGGATCGATCCAACTCGAGGGACTGACGTACTGTGCTTGGAGCAGGTTCTCGTAGTCCCCGTGGTCTGGAGGTGTGTGCTTGATGAGAAGCTGCATACATGAACAGGGTCAGGGTCGTCAGTAAGGCGTCGCAGCTTGCGGTGGAATCATTATGATGAAGAAGACGCGTACGTCAATGAGCATCTTGTATCGAGGGATGCGCTGCACCGGCATGATGAGGAAGGCGTAGATGTTGAGGTTGTGGCACGCGTCGTTGTTGAGGCAATTCTACAACAGTCGGAGGGGTACCGTAAGCCCCAAGGCCACCCACAACAACAAGGACAGGCCTCAGTACCTCGAGCCATCGTGTGGCGATGACGGAGGAGAAGATCTTCTTGAGCTCAGCCGTGCACTTGTCGTAGCGCGAGCAGTACTCGCTGTACAGTTTCAGGAAAGGCATCTGGAGCCACCACCGTCACGACGTTAAACGACTACTACTATTGCAGGCTGGTCGGGGGGGGGGTTGTTTGTGGTGTAGTACCATCTGGACCAGGACGTGCCCCAGCTGGGTTTCGTATGTGTAGGTAGCCATGAGCGCCTCGAGCTGATCCAGGAGGTGTCGGTGGAACGCATGG